TCTACCCCCTGATGATAAAAACCCTCAAAGAAATTAATAATTAGAACGTTTTATCTTTACACAGTTTAAGTAGTTATTAGCTTATTTTATTCTGAGCTCATTATCTCTTCAATGTATGTATGAATGTGATGTCTCATTCACTCTTCAACTTGTGTTGTCAAAATCATGTTATGGAAGGTGAAATTTCTAAATCTCGTAAGTCCCTCAAATTTATTTTGGCAATTCCTTGTACACAGGCAATAGACCAAGCAATGCTAAAGTGAACCAGTTAGTGAAAGCAACTGAAAACTACACTGCAGCAAACCATATATTTTGGGGTTTGTGGGGACTCATTTCGGTAAGTTTTTGTTTTATTTGAATTTGGTTACTTGTGCCTAATATGAAGGTAAAGGTATACACACACTTTTTTTAATGGATCAGCAAAGAAGGTATAGATACACTGACATAGATGTTATGCATGCACATGCAGAGTTATGTGAATAAAATAGACTTTGACTATAAGGAGTATGCAAGGCAGAGGTTTCAGCAATACTGGTTAAGGAAGGCTAATTTATTGGACTCGCCAAGCATCGTTTCCCAAGACCAAACTCTGAATGAATCTCTACCATCTTTCACGTGATTTTGCTTCAGTTGCTTACTGAAGTTTAGTCTTAGTATTATACTATATAGTATAGTATACATATGAATAACACCTAAGATATATGACATACACCATCTATATGTAAATTTATTTAATCAGCATAAATGTGTAATTTTTATGAATCCGTCACTTTTGGAGTGAGTTGAGAGATATGCAGTCTATGTATTGTTTGCAATAATGATGGCATATGCATATATACAGAACAGATGGATTTGTCTTCTCATCTTTACACACTAACTGAGGTTATTATGATCTGAAATTATATGTCTCTTGCATATTCTTGAAATCTATTTTCAATAGTTCCTCTCGTCTAATATGCTTACCATCCTCTCCTCCTTATCTTCAAACTGTAATCCATTGCTTTGAATTTCATAATTTTAAAGACATTTAAATACATTCAATTTCAATTTATCTTATTTTAAATTGTTTTAATTTTCAAATGTTTTGTTTAGATAGGTAAATTTAAATTTAGTGAATTTTAATTTTTAGTTTAATTTGATAATATTTTGTAAGCAATCTTGATTAATGATACTTTTTGTTAACACCCCTAATATTTGTTTAGTTTATATTTGTAAAATATTTGTCTTAATTTACATTAAACAATATTATTTTCAAGTAATGAAATATTAAATTAGGTCAGTTTGTCCTATGGGGCTCATGTCAGGTGAAATTGAGTTAGAGTTAAACTAATTCAACCCAAACTTAATATTAGGTCAAATTGTCTTGTTGGACTCGTGTAAGATCAAATTGAATAGAGTTAAGCTAATTCAACTCAAACTCAAGTTGAATCAAGTTAGTTAAGCCTAACTTAAATGATGTATATTTAATTCTTAATAGAGTTAAGTTGGTTCAGATTTAAGTTTTGAGTTAATTCGGAATCAAATCAAGTCAAGTTTGATTAGGTCCAATTTGAGTATGGTTAAAATATAATTAAGATAAATTAAGTTAGGTTTGATCAAACCAAGTTAGATATGTGTTGGGTTGAAACATCAAGTTAAAAGCATGTTAAACTAAAAGTATCGAGTCAACACATGTCAAATTAAACTAGATTGATCTCACGTCAAGTTAAATAGAATCTACCAAACACATATTTAGGATGACAAAAATATCAATGCTTACGGACATCTCCGAATAAAATCATGACGAATAATTAGTATAATTAGTATCTAGAGGTATTTCAATACCTTTATAGTATGTAGATTTCCATTACTTAAAAAAATTAAAATTAAAATTTAATTTATATTTAAGTTAAATTTAGTTAAAATTAAAATTAATTTATATTTTATTATATTAAATTTAATTAAAAATAAATTTATATTTAATTTATTTTATATGTTTTTTTATAATTTTATTTATATTATATTTTAAA